GTACGTAATTATTTTGATATCTTAAAGTTTCCCCGAACTTAAAACTTGATTTCTGACTGGAATATTTTTTGGCAACTTGGATAATTTATGCCAGGATCCTTATTTGGTTATATGTTGCCCAGTTTTCACTTTAAAAGGTGAATTAAACAAGGAGTTTTTATTTGTTAAAATCTTTTTTTTTTTTTTTTTTTTACCTCTTTGTACATAGTACATACCTGTTGCATACTTAACAGTTAAGTGTTTACGTACGTATGTTTATTAAATCTTCGTTCAATCGTTAAAAAAAAAACATTGTCTCTCAATCGATTGTTAAACAATATATTTCCGAATAGAGCTTATAATGCGTTTGCATTTATCATTTAACCATATTTGCCGACTGTATGCTTCTTGACGTACTTTTGACGATAAATAATGGTTCTTGTGCTAATTGTTCGCTAATTGTTGTTGAAATACTTCCTGAAACAATTTACGAGATGATCGTCTAACAAAGATGATTGTAAAAACAAGTTTATTGATGTGGAGAATAACAAACATCGCTTAAATAATGGTAAAGAAAAAAAAAAAAAAAGAGTTCTATATCATCTTACATCTTTATTTATTTGTAGTCATAAAAATATCCTACTTATTATGTCCGACACTAAACTGGGTGATGATGATGATTACACCGCATTCCCTTACATATTACATTGTTGACGACTACAATATCTATTCTATGCAGTTTTTGAGAAAACAAAGAAAAAAGTTGGCACAAAAAAAAAAAAAAAAAAAAAAAAATTTGAGATAAAGGTTATAGGTTATAATACAATAATGATTAACAGACTCCCTTAATAAAAATTGCCCCCACGGACACATCTGTGGATCGAGTCTGCGGATCAAGTCTGCGTTACAAGAACCCTGCACAATGCATGGTTCTGCATTCTTTGCATTGTATTTTTTTGAAGGGTAATAACGATAAATAAAATTACCTTCATGTATCTTATTCACGCCCGCAGTTACTTGCTTTGGAAGAAATTCACCATTTTTCCTTCTTTTCTTTGCTCACTGCACGTATATCATTTCGAAACTTCAAAACTTGGCGCAATAATATGCACATTGTTATTTTTGTTTCTTTAGTTGCTTTCTTTTGTTTTTATTGTTAGTTGAGAAGAGATTAAAGTTATTTGGGTTATTACTAAATTGTTATACTAATATAACCATTAGTGTCTTTTTTCAATTACAATTTCGATTAAACCTTCAATTTCAACAGAGTATCAGATTACTTAATTAAATTTGATGGCGATAATTTTTATTTTTTCTTTCTAAAGTTAATGATAACGTTAAAAAATTTAAATTATTAATTAAATGCAACAAAAAAGTAAGGTGACACTATTTTTGAGGTGATAAAATGTGGCACATTAAATTTTACAGGTGATGATTATTTACCACATACGCTAACTTTCAGCATTTAACCGATAAAGTAAAAGATAATCGCGCATACATTTTATACATTTATCAATTCGACGAATTCTTATGATCAACTAAGGAATTCCTCTATTAGCTCGAAATTCTTTCCACAAGAATACGTAACTAGAAACTATGTCATATGATCTGTGCGAAGAAAAGCATGAAGCACCTGAAACCACTTGATTATCGTGTTCTCTTGATTAATATAATTCATTATCTTTCGTTATCTTTTTTTTTTCTTATGTCTTCCTATATATCCCATGTATCCACGTATCCGTGTATACCATGTACCGTAATAAATCATATCAAAGAGATCTTCCGCAACTGTTACTGTATTTCATATCTATACTAATTTCCATAGCTAAAACTGTAAAGCAACTAAAGGCGGTTACAATGGCGCCAACCATGCTGTCCACCTGTCCACCTTAACGAAACTAGCAACAAAAAAAAGCAAAAGCAAAAATAATATGCATGACGATAGAATAATAAGAATGGAAAGTATTAGTAACAATAGTAACAATGTATTTTCAAAATGGAACAAAGAAACATTTCTTAATAAGAAGTGAACCATTTTATAATGCCAGGCATATCAGGCGTTTTTTATTATTTCTTGATCCATTCTATCATTATGCAGATCTCATGGGATAGAGCATGTAAAGAGAAGGAATTAAGCATGATAACTAATAATTTTCTTTTACTCACTATGAGAATTCGTAAAGTCATGTGTGAATGTTAGAATTTTGAATCAATCAATCGCCCAAAATATTAATCGCTAAATCTATTTCATTGTCGAGAACGCCTTATATTCCACAAAAAGTTGTCCAGGATTAAAAAGGAAGATCGGTTCATATGCTTGAATCTCAAAGAAAGCAAAAGGTGGGAAATCTGTTCATTTATGTTTAATATGAAAATAATCTAATCGTAGTACATGATTCATTAAGGATTTAGTATTTTCTGGTATTCGTTGTACATACGTACGTACGTATGTACATGAATAGCAGATAGAACCAAGTCTTCCAAAGTCGTTCATTTACCTGTAACCATGTTGAATGAATTCAATAAATTCGATAGGTAAATCTTAAGAATGCCCATGTGAAGATATGCCACGCGGGATGAACAATAAAAATCAATAACAATATTTATTAACTTTGAATCGGCTGATACTCGGATCTTTGGAAACGTTTTTTTCGATAATCGTGGATTATTACAGGTTGTTGCAGCAGTTGACCAATTCATTTTATTGTTATCTAATTGATCTAATGCCCCTAATGCTTTTGGTGCTTGACATTAACCATATTTATCAACCACAATCAAATTATTAAATTTGTGAAATTTCTCGTGCCATTCATTATATGCTTTCCTCGTGCATATCAGGTATAATATTATCAAATATGTTTATACCCTTTTATCATATTATTTATTCGTGCGTGCCGGATGGGTTGATTAATGATCTGAAAGTGCTTTCCCTTAATCTTTTCATTATCTTTCGAATCTTTCAATATTTTACATTTTCCGTATGATTTGTTGATTTTTTTTGGACCAACCTTATAAGTAGAGTTACATTACATTTTTTAAAAAAGATTTATGAGATAACACTCCCTATATTTATTAATGAACCTAAATTCATCGCCACGATTTTAGCCGCTCTCTCAAACGATTCCTGAGAAAGTGGAAATCAAATGTTTGTGTTCAGGAGAGATAAAAATTATTACTAAAGTGTTATAAGTATGATGTGAATTATTTAGTCATCGAATATTGCTCTAAAACTTTTGTTGACAGTACTGAACACAATCTTCATATCTGTCTATATCACTGTTTAATCTCCTGTACTCGTTTTTTCATTTTACTCGTGCGTTCCCTTTGATCATCCTGGTACATTGGTGTTTCATAAACAAACAACCAGTTAGACAAAATGATTATAATTGGTAGTATGAGTCCGTTTGCCACATGAAAACGACAATTTTACGCAGATCCGCAAGATCCTTTAGAGAATGACGTTCATACAAGACTTTTTAATTGGGAAATTTGTGGAGAGCTTATGTTATTTATTATCATGCTACTAACACCAACTTGATAGAATTAAGTTAAACCAAAAAACCCTGGGCTTCTTAAAATCTGCTTACGCGGGGATGGCTGTGCGTTGCGAGATTCACTATAAAAAGTCTCTTCTTATTAACCGTAAATAGCTTTTTATATTATATATAACCATGTGGTAATAAAAGAAGTTTTCATTGATCATTCTAAATAGGAAAGGATTATCACTTAAATATCATTAATAATATTGTATATAATACGTGCGTAGCATATTTGATGCTTTAAACTCCGGATAAATTTTATAAACTTGTATTAAATTATAAACTTGTATTAAATTTTAGAACTGCGAATCCGTCACGGATAAATGCATCATAGTTCTTATTTATATAAAACGTCAAAATACATATATTTTATTACTTTTTTCGTGTTAAAAAGTCTTCCGAATTATGCATCATTACGTCTTTATATGTAAAATGCATCCTTTTTTCTTTGTATTTCTTGTAACTAAATTTCAATAATAATAATAAATATATAAATACGTACTTGTTATTGGTTACAAATGATTTTGTTACAAATGATTTTATTACAAACGATTTTGTTACAAATGTCGCCTTTTTTATATACGGCTTGCTCCAATTGGAAATTTTTGAAAGTCTATGATTCTCATTATTTTAGGCAATGTTCCGAGTAGCACGTCAAAAATCGCGTATATCGCGAATCTTTAATCCGTCAAATTGTCACGAGTGATTTGATTTTGCCTTCACAATCGGGAATGTTAATCATGTATATCGGATATCTTCTTAACACCACTAGGTATACAATAAATGATTTATCACATGATCAAATTATTCACATGATATGGTCAAAAAAATCGATTTACCAAGATTGGCCAATCAGAATGCACAATTTGGTGTAATACAATATAACGTGATCAGTAATGTAACTTTATTTTTGTGGCGTAAACCAATCGTATTAATTCAAAAACAAACGTTCGTAACTCAAAAATCAGCATAGGAAACCACCTTTGGTGCCTTAACAAAAAGTTTTATTTGTGCGATTTTACTATCTATCTTGCATCAATACAAACGCCACCCTAACTTAACGAGCTTGAAGATTTTTTGAAACGCCGCAAAATACGGTCACGTGCTCGTACCATTTTGAAGGCGATTTACGGTTAACCAAACGCACTATAAAAACCAACATACCTTAGAGTATAAATAACACGCAAGCAAAAAAATTTTTATATTTTCTCCGTTTTTACATATAAGCGAACTACCTTTTCCTATTTGATCCAAAGAGATCCCAAAGTTTTAAACGATACTTCAGAACTCGAAGAACGTACTTGTGAAAAAATATTTGCTGCCATACAGGTTGCATATGACAAATATTATAATGTATGATCTACCAGCCAATCAAATTTAATCTGATGATTTGGATCAACAACCAATTAAAACAAAACCCCCTGATGTTGTTTTGATCATCATTTCATATTTGTAACTCTTTAATTTTCACTTTTCAAAAAAATGCTAAAATTACAAGTAACTGTTGGATCTTCGTACGATCCGTCGACACACTTTATCTTCCTTCCTAATGATGATGCAAATCCTTTTTTTATTGATACGGAATACTTCATAGGAAGAATTTGTGTTCGTGTTAGAGATTTTAAAGGTGTACCTCCACCTGAAAAAAAAATTCTATCATCGAGTCCTTACTTTAACGGAAACAACTATCAATATTCTATACAAATTCAAGGAAGGTTTAAAGGAAATAAATGGACGGCTGATGATATTCTCTTTGGGGTATTTTTTTTATTTTAAAAAATCATTTATTGGTTTGCTTATAATGTATCTAATGTCACGTGCTTTGAATTTTAGAACGATTTCGATTGCAAGATTAATTTACCTGCCATTAGTTGGTTAGGGTTGAAAATATTGGAATGGATTGATCCTGCTTTAGAAGCTGATATTTATTCTGATAAACCTTGGGCTTATAGTCCGTTACTTTTTACTACTAATTCTGCTCGTGTTGTTCAAGATTCAAATGACTGTAATGATTTACCTCCATGGCCTTCTCCAAACGGTGAACATCTTAAGGATGATACTATTTATGATCCTATTATTGGATCATTGGTTGCCACTGATGTAACTTCACGTAAACAATATTTTTCTTCAAAGGAAAATCGTATGAATTTTAAAATTACTGAGGATCAAGTTTGGGATTTTGATTTTTTTAATTCGTATATAGACTTCAATAATATCACAGTAAAGGTTTGTATAATAAGTTTTGTAAATATTTTTCAGTTACTTATTAACCAAAGATTTGTATACAGTTACCTGGACTTAAAGTAGGTGTGTTACAGTATTGGGATGGTCAAGTAAGTAACTATTTATTTCATTATTAAGGATCTCACTGGCATGTTAGTAATCAAATGTTTGTTTCGAACAATCTGTTACTGCAATTAAAGCCGTTTCGATATGTATGCAAGACACGCGATTCTTCTGTAGTCTTCTTTGTCGTGGTATTTCAATTAATAGAGGTGAACGACGAAATGAATGAAACGAATTTTATTGAAATTAATGAAAAATTGATCCCTGAAGAGATTAAGATGGAAAAAAATGCAATATCTACACCAACATATGTTAAATATCAAAAACAATGCCAAGGAACGTTAACACCAAATTCAGTCGCAAGATGGGCATCAGTTAAGTCACCATCATCAAAGAAGAATTTAACTCCTTACAAGCCTCTAGTTTCTTCTCCATTCGAATCAAATGCTTCTTCAAGTGATGAAATAATTAGCGATGATGAATTCGATTTCGAACAATCTTCTGTTGATTGATATAATTCATTGGAATTGGTGTTATATATGGAAATTTGTTACTATATTAGGCTAGATAATAAAGTTTGATGAAGCTTGATGATAGTTAAATTTCATAGGCAGATATCGATCAGCGTCTAATCTATTGATTAATGCAATGCACCTGAGCAAACAACTGAACATCTTTTTTTAAAATGGTTTATTTATTGTTAAATGAGAGTTGAACCTCAAATAATAAATAACTAAACTTTGATGAAAAGCACTATACGTATATATTTGATTATATTTTTGCTAGTGCGATATTGCTAATATATTTAGCAAAGATGTTTTTGGTTTGTTGGAGTATTAGGTATTTGAATAACGGTAGCTTTTAGCTATTTGATAAGTGAATTTTATATTAGAATTTTATATAATATTATGACAAGAAAGCTATAAGGGTAAAAATGGTTATTATAATTTTATTTTTTATATATATTGGATAAGTTAAGGTTATTTGTCTTTATTATTATATTACTATAGATATGTTTTAATATGACAAAATATAATATTTTAATTTGTTCGTAAAAGGTTTATCTATAATTTTATTGTATTATATATTTGATCTAAATCTATACATTCTTATATAATTTTATGCCCTTTTAATATATAATTTTTTGTAAATTGATTTAATAATTTTCAAATAATATACTTCAAAAAAAAAAAACCCCCAAAATTGGGTGGATCATTTGGACGACTAAAATTAATAAATTAAAATATAAAAGATGTAGAACCATTAATAAATGAGTTTATAATTAAATTAAAATATTACTAAGTGTATAATAATATAATATAATAATATAAATAATTATAAACAATTGTAAGCTTACTAATCACACCAGTGATGTTTGGCACCACAGCACTTTATTTCAAACTAGCTAACCTGTGTTAAATAAAACACTCAAGTTCCAAGAAACATTTCATTAACCCTAATCCTAACCTCTAATTTCCAAACCCAATTATAAAAATATTTGTTGTATTAACCACCACTGATGTGTTTTTAGAATTATTTAACAATTAAACGCAAACACAAATAAATAAAATTATTATCTAAGATTATTGACGATAAAAACCGATCAATATGACAAACAAACATCAAGTCCCCGTACCTCGAAATTATAATTCGAAGGACTATAAAATATTCATAATATTTCGCACCATATCAGGATTTAACCAACCATAACATCCTTATCAACTTTGATCTATATTTAAAATTAGACTATAAAGATTTAAAGAACAGTAAAAAATAAGAAAACTAACAAATTAGAAACCAAGAAAGCTTTAACACATGTCTGATGGAAGTTCAAGATTGAATTGGCGCGAGTCAACTTTATAAAGTTGGTATAGAAAAGTTTATTATAGTTAATATAAGCAGAATATAATACAAAAAAAAAAACAAAGCAAATATAGTAAATCTAATATAAGACATACGAGAGTCGGAAGAAAATGATCTCAATGTAGGAATCTCACGAGATCGAAGTTCATTATTTATAGGCTTAACTTCGTTTTCTTTACCAAGCTTTTCAAGCCGTAGTAATCTACTAGTGTAAATAGCTTGCGGATGATATGTCATATTTTTCTCAAAATCATTTTGGAAATTGACTTCCATTTTTTGTTTAATATCATCCGCTAATAAGAATTGTTCAACAATATCAGGCAAACTTCCACTGTAATTAAGTGCATTCCACCATCCATCTATGATTGCTAGGACTTCATAAGCAGTTGGCCGATTAGATGGTTCAGTATCCCAACACCGACTAATCAATTCTCTAAAACATTGAGGCATATGCTCTTTAAATTCTGGACGAACTCCATTACATATATCAATGGTAAGCTCAATGTCATGTGCTCGATCCTTGAACGGTAATTCGGCACAAGATATTTCCCACATTACGATTCCAAGACTATAAATATCACTTTCGGGCTTATATGGCTCTCCACGGAGGACTTCTGGTGCAATATACGGTAAAACGCCAAATATTTCTCTTTTGTCTGTTGACAAACTTTTGTTGGCAGGTTGACAAAATCCAAGATCAGTAATGCATGGCCATGATCCATTGTAAACTATATTACCACTGTGAAAATCTCTATGTACACAATTTGCTTCGTGGATAATCTTTAATCCTTCAACTATATCTTTAACCAATGACAATATTTTCCACCAGTTGAATAATTTAAAGTTTTCTCCAACATATTTACGCATATTGCCACCATACCCGTAATCCATAATCATCATATAATCGCCAGTCTCCAAATGCCTTGTAATTCCTAGGCAACGAATTATCAGATTACTTAAAGCGCATCTTAAAGATGTTTTTACCTATGAAAAAAAAAAATTTATTAGCCTCATAACCAAAGAAATTTGAAACAGAAAAACTTAAAAAATTTATTACTTCATTGAGAAAATCTGCTGTGATATTTTGCGAATTGTCTAAGGATTTTAGAGCCACTATATATTTGGTTTTTTTTTCAAGTTCCTTTTTCCATTTTTTCATCTTCGGATCCCATTCTGCTATCGGTCCATCGATCCATTCAGCCTTATGGATGGTACCAAAACCGCCTCTAGCTAAAAATTGGATATTTTTAAATTTGTTTGGATTAACCCATTCAAGACAATGACTACGGCCAAACGAATTTAATTGGCATTCTTGAATGAATTTATCTATTTCTTCATTCTCGCTAGTCCACGTCGAAAATTCATTATTAAAATGTACAGAATAGCATGCTTTACACCATTTGTAACCAGTCCTAGGTTGATTACATTCGGGGCAAGTCCCGAATGGACGACCCTCGTGGTGTGCTTTTTTTGCCACTACATTAGTTACTTTGTAATACTCTCGCATTTGAAAAGGTTGTGTTTTAAGTCGACGTTCAAAACTCGACTTTAATTAAATATATGTCTTCTGCGCTTCTTAAACATTGGCATCAGTATTGACCAATCAAATTGAGGAACCACGATTATCATTAATAACATGACTCAATCTTGGATCATTTCGGTCACCTCCGATAGGTGCACTGTATCTGTATTAGAATTGATGCTAACGCTAAGTACTCACACAAGAAGTGTACACAATAAAACTATTTATATATATGAATAGATTTTTTATAATTCTGGCTAGGACCTTATACAGAATTATTTAATTAAATTATACAATTAATTATAAGATTAGTTGGTTTGTACAATATATATACTTGTTAATATACTTGGTAACAATATTTTGTCTAAAATTCTAAAATTGCACCTGTTTAAAATTACTAATACATGCAAGAAAATCTAGTTGTAGAGACCAATGAAATCTTTAGTTATATAATCTTTAATTTTTTTTATACGCATCAGTTAAATTAAAAATCGTATGTAATTACATCTTTTACAAATAGCAATAACCCAAAAATTATAGCTGAATATGCCAAGAATGAACTTATATGAAAATCTTATAATTTATAAATACTATAGCACTATAAAATACAAATATTACCATCCAAATAAATCATTATCCACTTTTATCTATAATGATTTGAAACTTTTTTACAAGTTGACCATCGCAAAGAACAAACCATTCTTTGTGACTTCCAGTTGTCAAAAGCATAGCCAGTCCGATTAATTCTTGGGAATGTGATTTAAGATCATTGGCATGAGATACGATTATTTCTACATTATGTGGTGAATAGAGGTTGGTGCCTAATTCATCAGTACAATCTATAATTGAATTACCCAAATGCACCAATTGATCCAATGTTTCGTTTATACTATCTTGTCGAAAGCTATCGATATTTTTAGTATTTAACTGATCTGATGTGTTTAAAGGATCAATACACCGGTGAAGAATTTTCTTAAAGAGTAATTGAACAAGTTTTATTAAATCTAAACATAAGTTTCCCATCTCTTTCTCAGTTGTGGAAAGAGTTGAACTTTCAGCTGTCGAAGTTCCAAGAATTTCATCCCATCCATCATCAATATCATCATTCGCATTTTGATTATTTTCAGAAATTAGATCAACAATTTCACAAATAGCATCTTCTAACAACGCCAAAATTCCCTTCCATTTTTGTGATACTGCAATGGAATTGTTTGAAGGTAATTGTTGAAATAAATCACAAGCATTCCATAGAATTCCAGTTGATATAAGGTGACCATAATTTGTTGTATTCATATCTATAGGAGAATCCAGGAATGAATTTGCCAAAGCAGCCGAAGCATAAATAATATCTCCAGTTGTGGATTTTATTTCATTAGCAAATGTTTTTCCTGCAGATAGTGGAACAGATGCAGCATGACCAGAAATGAGAAATAAAGTCTCACTTATCGCATTGATTGTAGGTATTGCTGCTGAAGGAGTGCATGGAGGTTTACAAGTAAGGGTCATCTTTATCAAAATTAGATCGTGAGATAATTTTATTTCTTGTAATTCATGGTTCATTGATTATATAACATGATACCTTTGTAGCATCGTTAGCTAAAATCAACCCCAATTTTCCTGGATGAATTTATTTATAAATCAATGTAATTGCAGTAACGATAAAAAAAAACCTGAAATCATAATAAACAAACCGAGTTCGTTCTTAATTATAGTGCCATCGAAATTTAAAGAATTTTGTAAAACTGGTGGGTTTTTAATATCTTTTAGGTATCCAAGTAGCATGTCTACCAAGCCACGTAATTTTGCTTGAACGTCTTCATCGTATTGTAAAAAAAAATTTACTTAAGACTGAAATAAATTACTTAAGAAGTAAATATAAATATAAATAATTGCCTGCGTTACTAGCCATGATAATAATATCGATATCGATGGAATTTAAGAACTATGTATAAAATTTACTTTTTGATTGTATTTTGGTTGGACAAACGTTTAAATTATCAGTCGATCGACATTTCACGTTTTCATCCATCTCATTCCTACTGAATGTAATTTAAACCTTAAAAGAGTGAGTAATTTTTTTACAAACCGTAATTATTATTTCAGTTTTATTATTGTTATTAAGGATTGGAACCGTCTAAATTTTTCTAATCGTTTAACCGTTTAATTCAGTCAGTATTAAAATGATTCTGATTCATGATCAGCATAATTCGGCCCGAAACTATGGACCCCATTACTATTTCTTAAACTTCGCAATAAAAAACTTACAAGATTAAAGAATGGAAGGGATTGTAATCTAAAAACGATCATATGAGTGGATTAGGATTGGTGGCATAAGGAAATGTTTAAGCATGTCCAAAAGGACATGCGTTGAACTGAGGCATATACACACGCGCGCAAGAGCAAGGCAAAGATGGCATCTTGTGATCTACGTGAGAATGTACAAACTCTCGGTCTAGAAATTTTTATATCACAAAAATTAGAGATTAACTTTTATTTTGGCTTCATATTCAATTATAAAAAATTTTCTTGTGCATACTCCGCATTTATAACAAGTTCAGAAATTTCGCATTTAATTATTGTCTTGGCTGATCTGCTGATGCTGAAATTGGACATATTTTGATATGAATTTTTAGGGTATTTTTTTTTTCCCGCTTTTTTTTTATGGTTGCCAGTGTTTAGGGTTAGAATTGATAATTAAAGAGCATATGTGGATTTTAGCAGTGCTTATATTTTCAAATCACAACCCCAAATTTCAGCATCAGCACCAGCCGCGACAATTATTTTGGTTAGCGCGTTACGGTATTTTAATGCTGATTACTTCATCAGTAATAAATATTATACATTTATGTATTCGTATATACATATGTAGATTTTTGAGATCGGTCCCGCAGTAATTATCAGCTGACTTGGAGGAAGATTTGTAAAGAACTGATAATTTTAACTAGTATTCATTCAATAAGTAAAAAGTTATGAAAAGTTATTTCTCTATAACAGTCTTTAATAGAAGTTCGCATTGATTTCGGAGAAAATTTGGTTAATCGATCCCATCTAGATCTAGATTACTCAGAAACTAATGTAAACACTTCTATTAAAGACTGTTTGTTATAGAGAAATAACTTTTCTATAACTTTACTTATTAAATGAATACTAATTAAAAATATAATTTTTTTTTTTACAAATCTTGCTCAAAATCGGCTGATAATTACTGCGGTACCGATTGTGTTCTAGTAACAGTTATTACTTTCAATGGGAGATAATCTTTGAATGCCAATTAGCATTAGTAAAAACTACTCGATGGCATCATGCTAATCTTTACCTTTACTAGTAAATCTCTTTTGTATACGAATTATGCTTATTAATCATTAATATATGCTAAATTATATATACTAATTAAATTGACAACCAGCCTAAAAAAAAAAAAATTTCACTATGACAAATGTATTTGGGCCAAACATTTTAAAGTATACAAGAAAAGTTACCGATCGATATGTAAATAACTTTATGCGTACATCCTTAAGATTGATGCGATTCTATAGCTCAGTACCTACGAATTCGCAACGTTCAAGCAGTTAAAAATTCATATTTTAATAATGGTTCACACAATCAATATATTAAAAGTTGATAAAAATTAAATTTTGAAAATTTTACAATCTCTTTTTTTTACCTAAAAATGGACCTATAAAATTAAAATTAAATAGCATCAAAAAAAGTCACGATAACAACTATTCAAAATCTTTATAAAAATAATGAACCCATAACAGTATTAACGGCTCATGATTATCCAAGCGGATTATTTGTTGAAAAAACGGGAATTGAAATTTGTTTGGTTGGTGATTCTTTAGGAATGGTCGCTCTGGGACGTCAAAGTATCAATCAAACAACTATAGAGGTTATTTCTTTGGCTTTTCATTTGTTTAATTACCAATTCTTCTATTGACTTTATTTAATGTGATCTTTTTTATTCGTTAGGAAATGCTTCATCATTGTAGAGCGGTATCAAGAGGTGCAAAAACCCCATTTCTTGTCTGTGACATGCCATTTGGAAGTTATGAAATTAGTCCTAAAGATGCGTTAAGAAATGCTATTAGATTTATAAAAGAAGGAAATATGGAGGTGTTTTAAATTTCTTTATTATATTTCCCCAAATTAATTATTCAGTCCTAACTTAAACTATAAAAAGGCGATAAAATTAGAGGGTGGAACTGAAATGGCAAAAACTATTCAACAAATTACAAGCATAGGAATTCCTGTTTTGGGTCATATAGGTTTAACTCCGCAACGTCAATCTTCGTTAGGTGGTTTTCGTGTTCAAGGGAAAACTGCGAAAAAAGTTCGTCTTGATCTTTCACAATTTTCACACTTCATGTTAAATATTTTTAGCTTACTAATGATAGATATTATGAATGAAATAAATAGGCAATAAAACTATTAGATGATGCAAAAGCATTACAACAAGCTGGATGTTTTGCAATAGTGATGGAAGCAATTCCTGGACCAGTTGCTGCATATATTACAGAACAAATACAAATTCCTACTATTGGGATTGGTGCTGGATCTGGCACTAGTGGACAAGTGTTAGTACAACAGGATATGCTGGGGATTTACGATAGATTTGTGCCAAAGTAATAAGAATAGTTATTATTCATTTTATTTATTCTTAAAAAACAAACTTTAAAAACCTCTTTTTTTTTTTTTTTTATTAATCAAAAAGATTTTGCAAGCAATATGCGAACTTGGATCAGATAATAATTAAAGCTTTAATGACTTATCGTGAAGAAGTAAAATCAAGAACATTTCCTGATGAAGAGTATTCATACACTATTAGTGATGATGAGTTAAAGACATTTTTTGATATTATGAAAAAGGAACAAGAATGAAAGAAATATATTCAATTTGTTTGGTAATATTCGTTCGAAAAAAATTTAGAACATAAATCTAGACATCAATAACTTAACAAATGTAATAATAACAACTAACTTATCGGTGTTAAAATATATCACACAATAGATTGTTATATTCCTCGTAGTAATTGTTTGAATATGGGTAGCAGTCTCTAATAATAACAAGCAAGTTTAACTAATAGAAGCTAAATATATCATACAATAGATTGTTATATTGCCTCTTAATTATTTGAATATAACTAGCAGTCTATAATTTTATTATCATACAAAAATGAAAGTCTGTCATATAATTGATTGAGATGTATGTAAATACATGTAATTTATCAGATCACGGACTCGCTTCAGTTCTGCATTTCAAATACTTTTGTTAGAACTGATGAAAGAAATAATTTCTTGTTATCAGATGAACCCATGTGTGCCAATAAAAGAAAATCAGTCTCCGAAAATCCAATTAACAAAGTAGTGTTCTAATAAAAATATAGTAATAAAATGTATTTTGAAATCTGTATAATTCTCTTAGAATCGAAAAATCGTTTAATTTCCCGCGATTTTACGATGATTGCAAAGGGCACACCTTTTTGCAAACCGCGGCTTTGGAAATCCGGGAAATATGGTAGATCTGCATTTGTTCACACCTTTTTGAAAAGTTATAAGTGGATTTAGTCTGATCTAAAGGATCCGGTTCATTTCACCGACAATCAATTCACTGACCAAGTTGTTTTATAAATTACGCCGCTAACCTTAACTCTAATTATAACTTGACCCTAACAGTAATGACCAGAATTACTTTGTCGGTGAGTCGTACTGTCGGTGAATTGAAATGAACGGAACCGGATCTAGGCATGATGTGCTTGGCTGTCACGAAATTTTTCGCAGTATATATGATCGGTTATTAAGAAAAATATAAAAAATCTCAGGAAATTAGACGATTTTTCGATTCTAAGATTTATACAGATTTCTTCACTATCTTATCATGAAAATCGTGGGGTTACACCTTTTTGCAAACTGCTATCACACCTTTTTGAAAACAGCTGTAAAAAATCCCACAAATTTATTCATTTAGATGGATGGGAAATTTTTATTGGGCCTATTTTAAAAAAAGTTGTAAAAAAAGTAAACAGGTAATAAAACTATAACCGTATTGTCCCCACTTGTGCATCATTTGGAGTACGCACATGGGCGTTATTTTGAGACTAAGGTAATTTTTCCGAACCTGATTTGTCAAATTATTATGTGCTTACTTCCACTTATGTGCTTTTTTATAAGGTATTACATAACATCATGCTCATTATTTCACAACAATATGCACAGGTAAAAAAATTAAATATTAACTAAATATAACCAGTAATTTCTGGTATAAACTATAACTAATTTACTATATATTTACTAGGTAATTTATGTAATTTAATATATTTTTAGTTAATATGTTTAAATGTATATATAGCCTAATGAATATATAGTCAATAAGTTATAATTTGTATCAGAAATTACTGGTTATTATTTAGTTAAAAATAAATTTTTTACTTGTGATGGTATTTATAAGTATAGATAGTGAATACAGCAATACAAACATAACTTTTTAAAATATTAGCAGTGAGGCCATGCCTTTAACTTTATTGAAATTCAATTGAAGTTTTTACAAAGAAAAGCTTGCTTTT